TTTTTGAGACAGGGTCTTGCTATGCAGTTCAGGCTGGCCTTAAGCTCAGTTTGTAGCCCAGGCTGGTCTCAAACTCGCAAGGATCCTCCTGCCTCAGCCTCCTGAGTGCTGGGATTACAGGCGTGTGCCACCACGCCTGACTAAAATATTTTTACTGATTTTTCTTGTTTTTTTGAGACAGGGTCTCACTATGCAGTTTAGGCTTACCTTGAGCTCCCTTTGTAGCCCGGGCTAGTCTGAAACTCGATCCTCCTGCCTCAGCCTCCCGGGATTATAGGCATGTGCCATCACCCCAGCTATACTAATTTTTCTTAAGAAAACTTGGTGCGGTTATGCACATCTATAATGCCAGCACTCAGAAGTCTAAGACAAAAGAATTGCCATGAGTTTGAGGCCAGCCGGGGCATCATAGTGAGTTCAAGGCCAGTCTGGACTGCATAGTGAGACCCTGTCTCAAACAGAAAAAAAGTAAATTTGTCAAAATCTTGGTTCTTTTATATGAGTTAAAAGATGGTAAGGCATTGATTTCAAATTTCAGCCTTCTCATTAACAAAAATAGTATTTTTCCGTGGGGAGCTACATTTTTGGGTGTTTGTGTTCTAGTGGGCTGAAGAGCAGACTGAAGAACATGCTCTGTTGGGTGCACCAGTTTATAGGGTATTTTAATCTTTGTGAGCCTATGCAGAGCACTTCATGGTAAAAACTGCTATAGAACTTGCCTCCACAATTGGCAATTAGCTTGGTTAAAAAATTGCCATAAACTGAAGTTGAGTTTATGCCAGATTTTGGGTTTTCCATCTGTTAGTAATTTCTGTGAGCTATTTGTTGGTTCATGGCATCACCAAGATCATCCTACCACTGTCATCCTAAGCAAGGAAATAATAGTTACCCCGTTCAGCTCTGCTGTAAGGATCACATTGAGTCTAGATTGTCTCTCTTTAGAGCAAGCAGAAAGTTTTTCCACACACAGCTGTGATATGTGAAGAAGTATCATAAATACTAATTTACAACTCCAATTTGATAAGTTTCTTTGGCATGCAGAGTGTTCTTTCCATTGACATTCCTATTCTTTTTTTTTTTGTCTTTTTGTGACAGGGTCTCACTATGCAGTTCAGGCTGGTCTTTTTTTTTTTTTTTTTTTTTTTGGTTTTTCTCCGGTACCGGGAACTGAACTCACGACCTTGCGCTTGCCAGGCAGGCGCTTTTGCCGCTGA